TTGGACCTTAAACTCGAGATATGTGTGTATGTATAGAAAGTGAGTGCAGTTTGTACAGTATTAAAGCTTTTTGCTGGCCGTAACAAAACGCATTAATAAATATGTGTATGCGGGTCAAAGGAAAGTAGATTTTTTTGTGCGTCAATGGGAGCCCTCATAAACATTGCTGAAAGCTAATCAAAATAGTCAAAGGATGTGACGATGAATAAATGAGAGGAAGTTACAGTGGGCACCAAGTGAAGGCAAAATCAATTTCCATGCGCCCAACCCATTTAGGGTTTGCAAAAATAGGCACTCGGCAAAGCCACAGCGCTTCCAAAACTGTATTTAGACGGTTTTTGCGTCTATTTATAGATATCGAAAGACTTGAGAGATGCATGCTCTTTCCTGCTCTAAGGTCAATCGGAAATTGTAAGCCAATTTCAAGTCATTGGACTTTTGAGCTTTTGTATACAATTGGTCCCTTTATACTCTGCCCGTGGGCTATTATAAATTTGTCATGCAATGACAGCTACAAGTCGTGTCGATTTTGGCGAGTTTTCAGTCAGTGCTGTCCATTTGTGTCTCTTTATTAACTTGTCTTTCGCTTTTAAATCTTTCTTTAAAATAAATTAAAAAAAATTTAATCAATTCTTAACGAACCTCTGTTCTGAACAATCAATTAGAATTAGTTTTTTTTCTAAGATAAACTCTTTTTAATATGAAAATCAATTGCAGATTTGCTAAAAGTCCGCAAGCGTATTTTGTCTATGGCCTAAAGCCGAAAGCTAATTGTTCATTTTTGTTTGCATAATCAAGCTGGCGCACAAATTGTCCTGTGGCCACAAATCGAATCCCTTTGGCTAACTGCATCCTTATGATGCCTCATTCTGTCAGTTTCTATACACTTCACAGCTCCAGAGCGCCACGTGCCCATCTTCATCTTCATCTCAACCCAACCACAACCCAACCGAAGCTCGTCAGATCCTTCCATCTGTTTATGTTATTTCCACACATTACGTTTATGTTTCGCTGTCGCTGGGCAGAGTCATTTGGCGCGTCCATCCAGCTGAAGTGTTCAGTTCAGTTGAATGTGGGGTTAGAAGAGGTCATGCATGTGCATGAGCCATAAATTATAAGTACACTTCACGATGTCAAAAGGTTGCATATTTCCACGGAGCGTTTCTCACATATTCACGACACGCTTGCAACGTGCAATATCAATGTCAAACTCCAGATACGTTGCGTGCTTATATATTTTATATATATTCTAACAATAAATATTCCCTGATGTTGATAGATTGCCCCTGAATTATGCTCTAAACTGTTGTTGTGCGAGCGAGCGCACGAAATTATAAATGTTATGAAGAGCTTAACATGTGTAGGTGTCAGAACTGGTAAATCGAAATGTTATAAGTCTGAAACAGTTCTTTTAGTATAAATATATGGCTGCTTAGCTGGCTACTTAAAGTAATTTTAAAAAAATAATAGCAAACCGATTGCACATTTACAAACGTCTGGTCAGTAGTAAGTCGTAAGAAGTTTAAAAGCTAGTTATAAATTATGAAGAAGCTTAGTATATATAGCATTTATTACCTGTTAGGTCGTTAAAATCAAGTTTATTTAACCAACCTCATTTTAAGGTGTTAAAATTCCGAAATCAAATTCGGTATAAAAACGCACGGATAAATTGTTAGACCATGAAATGTTAGAGCATGTGGACATATTTTTTAAAGAAAGAAAGAACTGAAATTCAGAAATTCTCATTGTACAAATATAAACACTTTTTTTTTAAAATTTAATTTATGTTTTTTCTTTCGAAAGAGTTTCTATCGAACATGCAATCTAATAGATTAGCTTACTCGCCAAAACTTTTTGATAAAAAATTGTATTACATTTCAGATATTTTCAGGCAATGCATATTTTATAAATTACAGAGACATGCATTTTGATGCTTGATTTTTGCACAACATAAAAAATGATGCTTCCAGATGATGGGTCAGGGTCGGTCCAGCATGCAATTATTCAAACGAAACGATGAAATTCGATTTTCATGTAATTTTATGCAATTTGTGGCTCGGCATGCTGTTAATCGCCCGATTCATGCATCCATTGATTTTGCATGCAAATATTATTGTTTTTATTTATTTATTTACATTTTTTTTGTTCAATTGCAGAATGATGAAAGCCACAGCGTGGTTTTGCCCGGTGCTATTGACTTTACTCAGCGCCACGAGGTTCGTTTGTACCGCACAGCGGGGTGCGGCGACAACAGCAGCGGGTGGTGGTGATGCTGGTGGTGCTGATGGTGCAGGCGGTGGTTCAGCACCAGCAGCAGCAGCAGCTGGCGGCGCGGGCTATGCCAACGGATATCCGCTGGACTATCTGGATGCACAGGCCGTACAGGTGAGTAAGTCGTGTCCCAACAACTTTTCATTCTCGTTCACCTGCCTTTTGTGGCTTTTACCAGTTGTCGCTCATTTTTGTGACAGTTTTTTGTTTTCGGTCTCATATTTCATTGGACATTTTAAAGTGAAAAAATTGATGAATGCTTTGATGTTGCCATCAGAGCATTTATCTGTATGCATTTCATTTACAAAAGTTTACTGGAAAACCCGTAGAAGAAATTCTTTTTTACTCTCACTTAAAATAAAATACAACGTATTTAACCTTATACATAATATACTCTATATATAGTCAAGACATAGCAATAGAGTGTTTACAATTTGTGATTAAGTTTATAAAAGTTTTTGGAATTTTAACTAACAGTAGGCCAAAGCTCTCCTTCTTAGGCACACTTCTCAAATATATGAGAATTTTAAGCCAAATTTGCAACGTGGGCTCTTCTAGTTCATTTCACTTATTGAAAAAAAAAACGGACTCCATAAAAATTCAAACAAAATTTGATTCAAAATATTCAAAAAAAAAATTTCAAGACATTTAAGTGTGCGCCTTACAACTTTTTAAGGTTGGACTCACTGCTGAGGCCAAACACTGCAAATCATATATCTTGATATAATTGGTAAATATATCTCCTATATAAGGCAGTTAGCTTACAGTAACCCCATTTAATTAAGTAGCTTATCGCAAGTTAGTTTGCCTAGCTCTCACAGAATGCATCAGAGTTTCCTGGTAAGTTTTTTATCAGATAACAATTATTGAAGTAGGATTTCCGATGAAATAGCTGTTGATTTCTGCCAGAGACGCAATAAATACGAAGTAATGGAAGTATCTCAATGCTATTGGCAAGTGAAACGCATTTTTTCCGAATACTGCCAACTTATCTTATCGACAGACCGAGCGTGACCACCGACCAAACATGAAGATTGAAAAGCCTGTAAAACAAACAAATTAGTCAATGTATAAAAATGGATTCCACATTTATTTTTTGTTCCTTGTTGAATTTGCTCAATGGAAAATTTTTAATAACGATTTATGTACGCTTCATTAGACAGCTGGAAAAAAAAACTTGTAAACAAGAAGTAAACAAAACATATTATTACCTTGTTTATTACATTTGACAAGAAGATAAATAAAACTTGTAGCTTTGTTGTTTTACGGTGCGAATAAATCGCCAAACAAAGTTGACAAGAAAAGTTCAAGTTTTCGTGCTGTTTAATTTGGCCAACGTGTGCGTTCCACTGAAAACAATAGAGCTGAATGCCTGGAGGTATGCGTCCAACACTTGTCAAACCGACAGCTTAGCTGACGAACATTTCAAAGGACCAACTTCTGGGCCACTCAACACCTGCGAATGTGCTCTTCATATTTATACATTCACTTTTCATAGGGGCCATCATATTTTATCAGCCATTTGCATTGTGAATATTCTATCCGGTCGAGCATTCAAAACAATGAAAACTATTTAAGGCCGAGCTAAAAGTTTTCCAGCGTAAATATTTTAGTCAAATTGAAACTTATGCGATAAGTTTGTTAAAACAATTTATAACAATTTGGGCTGAAACCGTGCAAAGAAGATTTTGATGAATAGTTGATACCTTGTACTCTGCACTTCCATTAATTATTGCAGCTGCCTTAGATAACAAATAATAATCACGGAGTTGTATTCGATTTTCTCAATGAATCAAGGCACCGAACTGTTTATTTGTCCTAAGATCAATTGAAAATAGGTCAAATTAGCAGTAAGAAAACAAATTTTTTATACTGAATGACATTTTGGAAGAGGGAACATTGGGAATCGCACTTTAGTGCATCGAAACTCTAAGCATCCTGATCAGCGTCATCGTCAGCATCTTCATCCTGATCATCATCATCATCATTATCATCGTTTTCATCTGCATCATCATCAGCATCGTCGTCATTGTCGTCATCGTTATTGTCATCGTTATCATCATCGTTATCATTATCATTGTCATCGTCATTATCATCATCCTGCTGAGGTCCACGCGATGGCCCATGTCCAGGTGGACCACGTGGTGGTCCGTGTCCGGGCGGACCACGCGATGGTCCCTGAGCAGGTGGTCCACCTGGACGACCCGGTGGTCCCTGGCCGCCGGGACCACGCTGCGCCAAAACGGCGACAAACAAGACGGCAAAGATGGCTAATGTAATAGCTCTCATGATTAACTTTTAATTGCATTAACTCCGACAAACGCTCTTTTATAGACCCAGCTCCAGTTGTCGCTTATTTGAACAGTTGCCCCCGGGTCAATAGAACAAGACAGTTGGTTATGCCAATCTATTGGCATTGGGCAAATAATTCTCGCAACTAATGCAGTCTGAATGCTTACGTAGAAAGTTTTCCATTGCCATAGTGCGAACATAAATCGATCGAATGGCATGACTAATAGACCCGGTTTATTGTTTTATGTGCTGAGATAAGAGCTACGTTGGAAACATTGTGCGATCTATCGGAACTGACAATTGTTCAACGATTAAAAAGCTGAAATAGCAACGAGAAACATTTACTTATTTATGAAAGCTACTTGGTAACTTATCTTAAGTGCTCTTGGCATTACGATAATGTCATGTTGACATAACAAATTGAAAGTCTGGACAAATTCTTTGCTTTAATCTTTTCGAGTGCCTTTTTGAAAAGTAGTCAAAAGTAGAATGTGTGATTTATCAATCGTATAATTAGAATAAAACCAACTACTTATAATAACATATCATTTCGTTCCTTAATAATACAAAAAACCAACACTTGGTTTTCAATTGTCTTCTTTTGCTATCCTCACGTTACATCGAACTTATAATTAAATTCCTACTTCTGCTTTTAAGGGAGTACTTATGCACTTGCCGATCCGCTGCCCTCCACTGATTCAGTCGTTGACTCAGCGGATTCGCCGGAACCCTCGGTCGTTGATGCTTCGGGTGCCTTGGTAGTCTCGACCGGCTCCTCGGGTGCCTTGGTTGACTCCTCAGGCTCCTGTGTTCCCTTGGTAGACACTTCAGGCTCTTCCGGTGCCTGTGTAGTTTCTGTCGGTTCATCGGTTGCCTTAGTAGACTCCTCAGGCTCCTCTGTTCCCTTGGTAGACACTTCAGGCTCTTCGGGTGCCTGGGTAGACTCTTCGGGTGCCTTGGTTGACTCCTCAGGCTCCTCTGTTCCCTTGGTAGACACTTCAGGCTCTTCTGGTGCCTGTGTAGTTTCTGTCGGTTCTTCGGGTACCTTTGTTGACTTCTCAGGCTCTTCGGGTGTCTGGGTAGTCTCAGTTGGGTCTTCTGGTGCCTGAGTGGTTTCGTCAGTGTCACCCGAACCTTCGGTTGTTGAATCCTCTGGTTCCTCTGGGGTTTTAGTGGTTTCTACGGGCTCTTCTGGCGCCGGGGTAGTCTCCTCAGGTACATCAGGAGTAGATTCTTCTGGTGCTTGGGTAGATTTCTCTGGCGTTTCCGGGGTAGACTCTTCCGGGGCCTGGGTGGATTGCGTTTGAGGTTCCTCAGGCGTTGATTCTACTGGACCCTGAGTAGGCTCCGATTCCACTGGAGGTTCTGGGGTGCTTGGCGGTGCTGGCGGATGTTCAGTGCGAATTTCATGCTTGTTATGATGTTCCCAGCCCTCGTCTCTATGCCAACCGTTCACATCGCTATGCCATCCGCCAAAGTTGCCATGCCATCTGTCCCCATTACGATTCCAGCGGCCATGATCCAAATTGTTGCCCCAGCTACCTGAGTTACCATGCCACTGATCAGCGTTGCCATTCCAGCCGCCACGCTGAACATTTCCTGCCCAGCCTCCGTGGTAGCGTTCCCAACCAAAGCCATTGGGCCTGGCAGCGACCACGGCGCAGAGAACCGCGAATACCGCAATTGTTAGAAGCTTCATTTTGCTATTGTTCGATGTATACTAATCGGCACTGAGTATAGAACGGCTTTTTATATGAAGAAAGCAGGTGGTCATTGTCAGCGCAGTTACCATGGCTCTCAGACATTCTGTCCATTCACTACAAAATATTATCTAATCGCAATCTCAATTATAGTGTCTGATAAGCAAAACGGCGAAAAAAAAGAAAATAAAGTAAATTTCATTGCGTACTAACCACCGACAGGTCTGCGTGTAGCAATACGTGTTCTGCTGATTTCTTTGGGGATTGTGTTTTCAACTGTGTACTTTTTTTTATTTTATTCGAAACATAGATTAAGTTAATCTTTCGATGATGAACTGGTTAAGGCCTTGGTGACTTGAGTTGGACAGGTTAAGGTCTCTTATAACCTCAAGTTATTTTCCATTGTAAAGTAAACAAGGTTTAGGTTTAAGATCTTACTCTGTTTGGCAGCTATCGAACCTTCGGTTATTTTCCATATTCAGTTTGACTTTATCACAACTCAATTGGCGGGGTCTATGGTTGGACTGAGTGATCGATAATGAATTACCAATCGGAATGCGTTAAAATTCGCTTGACTTGATAGCTGGGGGCGTTAACATTTCTCAAGGCTTATCAGATTGAAATGAAAGAGCGTACCTTTAGTTTTGTACGACAGCTTTTAAGAACCTTTAACTTCTACAGACTAGGTTTATTGAACTAAAGACAACACACGCATACAAAGATAATTCTACATAAGCCAAAATGCCGTCCATTTTAATACCACTTAAGCTGCATTTGAGCTAACATCACGATTTGAGTCAAATCATCAAGTTTTATCAAAATGTCGATAACAATTATTTTGGTAACTATTAAGTGCCTCACTATATCTTATCCATATCTTACAATTGTAATCTATATATTTTCCTACGTATAAATACTCCATATTATCATTTGATAAAAGAATTTCCCACACTTAACATTTATGTCTGGCCCTGATCATGATTCCTTTACGTGTTTTCTTTCATGAGTCACACACAAATCATCTAGAATTTTTCGTTGTTATCTGCACTGAATTGTTTACACTATTTTTTTATCTGAAAGCTGCTCGACTTTGCAAATTATTGTAAATATTTATTTATGTGCCTGCAAACAGCAGCGAGAACATATCCCATTATGTTTTTTTAATTAGGCAAATAAAAATATAAGAAAAAAGTGAAGTAGTTCCACGGAAGCGCTTATCAGTGTGAGGGGCTTACCCATCACGCAAAATGATTAATCATCTGATCATTTAAAACTCATTTCCCAAATTGACATTCAATAATTTAAATGTCGGCGCATGATAAGATATTTGAATATTTTTGAATGTGTTCCGAGTTTCACTTTCTCCTTATAATAGAACAAATTTTCAGATCATAGATGTTCCAGAATGTTCCAGAATGTGTGGCTGTCAATTTATGGATAGGAAATATCTTCTTTTATTATAAAAATCAAAACTGATTAGAGCTAGAATATTATTTAATTTATCTCTCTCTTGGACTCTCTCTCTCTCTCCCTCTCATTATATGTATTATTATTATGAAGTCCATGAAGAACTTTTTTTATAGCTTCTATAAATTTGCCATTCATGCTGATATTTCTTCCAGACAACTGTTTAACCAAGTCAAACATTTGCTAACTTGAAAACTTTTTGTATTAAGAACTTCTTATGCGTTGCAATCAGAAGTTGAAAATGAATGCATATAAATGGATCTATCCCCCTCTTTATCTTTTTTCAGGCTGAGTACTCCCTGGTGAAGCGAAATAAACCGTCGCTGTCCATTGTCAATCCGTTGGATGTGCTGCGCCAGCGGCTGCTGCTGGAAATAGCGCGCAGGCAGATGAAGGAGAACACACGGCAGGTGAGGAGTGCACAATGTGGTCTGAGTTGGCCACCATTGTCCACTTTGGTATTTTTAATAAGCGCAAATGAGCACAAGGAAAACTTTTCAGTTTTGTTCCATTCAACCTGCAAGATAAACAAAGGAAAAACCAACGCAAAGAACAATTTTATTTTATACTCTCTGGCAGTTGCGAGTTGAAAGTGCGATTTGATGTAAATGGAAAATTGTTGCAGCTAATCAAAATTAGAGCTGCAAATGGTAAAAAGAAAATAGTTGGAAAGAAACTTAAAAGGTCATGCGCATCGTTTGCGTAAACTTTTTTCATTTAGCGAGCAGCTAAAAGAACAATAAATTTATGTATTTGCAAATAAGCGTCAAATGCCTAGCCAGTGGCAAGGTCGTCTCACGCTTTCCATTTCCCATTTTCCTGTTGCCCGTCTCTCGTTACGCAGTGGTCCATTTGTCAGACACTCGCCCAAAGGCGCATCTTATCGCTGGGCATTGAAAAGCCCGCATGCTAGCCATGTAAATAACACATAGGTAGATATCAAAAGGAAAGCTGATATAAGCAGGAAAGTGTGAATGGGTGTCAATGACTTGAAGATGCCCTCTGACCTTCGCAAATGTAGCCTGAAAACTTACCTATAGACTCGCTTAAATATTAATACTTCTTCAACACATAAAGATGCAAACATTTCCTTACCCGAATCTTTAAGAAATATGTTTCTTGGATATGCACAACATGCTCAAATCTAAACCATATTTTTATAAGGAAACCCATTTGGGCCTTGGCTTAAAACTAAAGAAAACTTCTTTGAAGCCCTATAACACAACATACCAAATATTTTCCATATACAGGGTACAAAATAAAAAGCTTCTGGAGCTTAAGGCTGTTGGCAGCCAACAAGCAAAGGCTTAGTGGCATCCTGTTTGCGTGTATGGGGAAACCTACGCGTCGTATGCGTAATATAAATATTTCACCCTGGCAACAAAGCGAAATTTATTTGGTTACCAAAATGTTGATGCACCCCACAGCGTTAGGTAAAATGTGGCAAGAAAATCAAACGATTTAATGGCAGGAATTCAAACGATTTGGCCCTTGGGTGCCTCTCGAACAAAGATCTCGACTAAGGAGAGGCTGTGCGCTCCATTTACACATGTCAAATCATATGTATATTGATTTGTCAAAGGGACACCATAAAGTGCGGCATAAATACGAGCTCCGTGAAAGGCAAACTCTTCAGTGCACTGAAATAATTGAGTTTTGGGTGTAGAAAAGGAGGAATACTCGTGTGCTTGAATAACAAATTGTGATTCATTTAATAAAGTATTCAATAAGAAATATTTTCATATATTGGAGAATATTTAGTGTTCTATAGTGTAGTATTTTCCTCAGGCGCCAAGGTCGTGGAGTTCTCAGGCTCAGCTGTGGTGGAATCTTCAGGTTCAAGTGTGGTGCTATCCTCCAGCGGCGGTGGTGTGGGGCGATGTCCATGTGGTGGACGCTGTCCGTGTGGTGGACGCTGTTCGTGGTCGTGAGGAGGTCGTTGTCCCTGCGGTGGACGCTGATCCTGGTCCTGAGGAGGACGCTGACCATGGCCTGGTCGCTTGTCTGTGCGTTCTAATAGAACACCAGCATTAAAAATAGATCACTTAAGAACGAACTTAAAGGACTCACCATTCGAATCCTCATCACTGCTTGGAGGGCCTACTGGCCGCTGGTTCTCGCCTCCTTCCTGTGGTGGCCTCTGCTGTTCAAGAGCTCCGTCGTGACCAAGCCTTTGTGGGTAGGCTGCTACCAGCACCACCAAAAGGCTAGCTGCCAGCACTGTAATTGCTATAGATTTCATTGTTGGATTGTTGGTTGTAACTGTTTGAGCATTTGGCTTTTCTGGTGGCTTTTATAAGACTGCGCTCATGTGGGAATACAGAATTCCCAGGCATGCGATACATGTTGGTATAATCTTATCGCGCCCAGACATTCCAGGGAATATCCCAAAAAATGACTAAATTGTTTTTCTTTTATCTAGCAGCAATTTAAGTCGTCATAACATAACAACACGAACTGCAATTCCTCAAGTGTATCACTTCTGTGTACGTCGCTCTTAACAACTATCTTATGGGGTATTCCGATTACTAACTGCAAATTGTTTGCTGATAAGAACATTGATAATACAGCTATTGTATAAATGCAATTAGCTTTTACAATTATATGCCGTGATTACCTATATTATTTTTGTACTTAATATAATGATTGAACAAAAGAAGTAGAAGAAGAAGGGAATAATAAAAATTCGATTTAGAATATATTCAAATAGTGCAAAAAATGAAAATCAAATTAAAAAAAAAAAAAATGTACATGAAAGTAAAACAAGATATATTTTATATTAAACGCGAAACAAGTTACATTACTTCTCACATTTATCTAAACTCGATAAATATCGCTTTGTGGCTCCAATTAAATATATCGTTGACATATATCGTTGACAGAAAGTGCCACGGATTAGAAATTTTTGCGCTCAAAAAAGTAAAATATAATAATATTTTGAGATATTACCTTGATTATTGGTATATATCCATACGTATCTAAATAGCATCTTTATATATTCGGCATATATTCGATAGATATCTGATAAAGTAAACAGTTGTCTGCACAGAGTATTTATTTTACGGCTCAGCCTGGTTCAAACAAGTATTGTAGCATACTTTTCAGGCGATTCCATTGCGCACAATTCGTAGCGTACTTTTTAGAGTATTCAAGTAAAATTGTTTTGCAAACAATTTAGATGAAGATGCATTAAAATTCAGCAAAATTTCCTCTTAAGTATACGGCAAATATAACAAAAAAATATATTCAGTCATGCGAAAATGAATTTAGACCGGAAATAAACAAACTGAAATACTGTAAGTTTAAAATGCAATTAAAATTGTTTAATTAGAGCAAAAATCTAATTGACAGTGTGATAAATTAAATATTTATGCTATTTATGTGCCTGTGGGGCGGAAAGTGGAGCGAATCCCCAAGGAGCTGTGGCGTGGCACACATTGCGAATTGCTCGCAACATTCCCTCTACTCATTTCCTTTAATGTCAAACGTTTTACCTCTTTACTTTTCACACCCTGCGCACAGGTTGAGTTGAATCGGGCCATACTGAAGAACGTGGGTAAACGTGTGTTTCTGGAGCCGGCGACTTGGGGCAACAGCCGCTACCAGCAGCAGCAACAGCAGCAGCAATTGGAGCGACAGCGTGAGCTGCTCCGTCGCGAGCAGCTGCAGCAGCAGCATTTCCCCAGTCAACTCTGGAGCTACGGCTGGCCGCAGTCCGACTCCGGCTCTGTCGCCGGCTCTGTCGCTGGCAACGCAGCAACCCCTCCCGTCTCCTCCTCGGCGATGGCTGCCTCACGGTTTTTTGATTTTCTACAGCCACCGGCGAAACAGCAGCAGCTGCTCGACGATGCTAACAAATCCCTAAACGCCGGCGCCCTCGGCCAGGGCATGGCCAAACATCAGCAGCCAAACGGAAATGAAATTGCAAACGAAACAAATCATTTAAATGGCAATCGCAAAAGCGCAACAAGCCTTCTGGCTGGCATGGAGGAGGATCAAGAGGATAATGGCGAGGACCAAGACGAAATGTTGGATGAGCTTAACTTGAACTGGGCCAACGAGCAGCCGATGGATGATATGGACAGACCCCTAGAAGCAGCAAATGCAAATGGACGGCTTCCCTGGCGTCTAATCTATCGCATGCACAAAAATCCACACTATGCTAATTAAGTGACAGCAGCTAAAGATACAGATACAAATGCAGATGTAGATGCAGATACAGATACAGATACAGATACAGACACAAATACATATACACAACGAACACAGACAGACACTGTTACAGATACAGCAAACAGTTTTAGAGTTTAACTAGATGTTAGTAGTTGCTAAATTGACGGTTCCTAATGGCTGGCTATAAGGCAGGCATATTGTGTGTGCAACCCTCCGATAAAGAAATCCTCCCTCCCCCCCTTAAACGACCTGTTACTTAACGTACTCAAAGCTCACACTCAGACTCACTATTTGAATTTCGTATCGGTATTTGTGACTAAATGGTTTATGTAACGATTCATGCTACCTCTTTCTCAGATGCTCCACTAAAACAAAATATATAAAAACCACATGAAACGAACGTTCCCTTTACTCAACGTAATTATACTCAACAATTGTATTTATTGACTAGAAAAAATATTTTAAAAAAAATATATATAAAAATAATACCACAAAAAAAATTATATATATATATGTATATGTATATGAATTTGTTTAATAGCATAAATGATGTTGATTAATAAAAATAAATAACATGTGTAGTTTTTAAATAAATATTATAAAGTGCAATATGCATGCTTAAAAACATATACCATATAATGTATGTGTGGATCATTAAATGCTTTAGCTATTGAGTTAAATATTAATTTATTAAATAATGTACTTTTAAATTTTAATTATGCTTTTTATGCAAAAAATGTCGCTGAATTCTATTTCTTTGAGAGCAATTTAAATTCTCCGCTGGCGGAATTCGTATTTTCTTTAAGCTTAATATTTTTTCAACATTTTCAATGAGCAAACAGGAATTTTAGCTGCACTATTTATAATGTTCAGATGCTCAAAATGAAAAATAAATTGTTCTGATTGAATTTTAAAGAATATTTACAATAGTAAAAACCTTAAGGATCTCACAGAGTTAAAACTTACTGTCAAATCTGAATGTAACTGTTAACCTAGTCATGCATATTATATCATTATTTTCATTAATCTCTTCTTTTAGCTAATATACGAAAGTTGTAACAAAGTTAAGAAAGATGTTAAAGACACAAAAAATGGTTGCAAGTCATACAAAATACGACTAACGATTTTAATGTAGATGAGCTACTTAATCCTAACCTAAAGTTATGCATGTGAAAACGAAAACTCAATTAAACTATCTACATATATATGATAAACAAATATATTAAAGCTATGTGTTGGAAATGGATCGAGTCGACAAACAAATACACTACTTAACACACACACACACACACTTTTATGTTAATTTATGAGTTTTATGCAAAACGAAAAGGAAATAAAGATAATTTTCTATATGTAAATAAACGATTTTCTCATACATATATAAAGCTGAAGAAATGAAATGTAACGCGACATCAAATGATTCAAAATTATATATATAAATGTTTATATATTACATGGATTATAATCGTATATGTACGCATGTATGTGTATGTATTTATTTTAATGAAACCAGTGAATAATAAAAAACACAAAATATGGAAACGGCATTCAATACCAAAACGCTTGATTTATAATGGGTGCGATTCAAGAATAAAACAATATTATAAGCCACTAACCTAGGGAATCGAACCAGGGCACATGAGACAGACCAAGGAATATATGAGCATTAGTTAGTGTACTGCGCAATCGAAACTAAGACTTTGTTTTAAATTTAACAAAATAAGTCATTTATTTCATTCTCGCACTAGAAGTAATATTATTGTGGCTTTAAGCATCTATTGATTATTTCAAGCGTCTAAAGAACATTTATTTAAGTTCTTTAAACACACAAGCGATTTGATGTATCTTTCGTACCAGCTTTTATGTTTGCTTTGTACAACATATTTTAAAACAAGCTTCCGCAGAACCTAGTAATAAATTAATTTAGGCATGCTAGATAATAAGAGGGGAAACGTTTATTTTCAGTTGACAAGTGTATTTGAAGTGCAGATTGTGCCCAAAACACTTAAGCGTAATTCTAGACATGGGCCAACAGCTAATTATGGTGTACGATGGATGTGCCCTTGGGGTTGCCACTTGAATAGCTCGAGGGCATAATTAATAAACTTGTAGTATCTCTGACGTCTCTTACACGAGACGCTCAACAGACACACAAAACTGTGCCCGGTGTCTCCGTCATAGGGGCCCAAAGAATAGGAATAGGACTCCCAAAAACGATAATTATCACAGTACCATTACGAGCACGAAGCACGTACAAAACAGTCGACAGCAGAACAAACAATGACAGGGACAACAAGTGGAGTGTGTGCTGTGGTGGTGTGCATTTTGTTGTGTGTGGTTGGTTTTTGTTTTTTTTTTTTCTTTTTTTTTTTCTTCCTTTTGAGTCTCAGTATTCATTTGATGTCACAGAGCAACGCAACGCCGCGCAGTGTCCAGTGTTTGGGATTGAAATCGGTCTCGAAATCAATGGAACCCACATACTTGAGGTCGGTACGCTGCGGCTTCCTATAAATTGGGCATTCATACAGCTTGGGATCCTTGCCGGCGGTTGTGTTAATGGCATATATATATATAACCGGCATTTGTTCATACAGGACCTTCATTTTCGACTCAATCAGCTTGCCGCTGCGTCGATCCAGTGAGGCGCCTGCAATAAAAGACCATAAAAAACCAATGTTTAAATCCACGCCAAGTTATGCTTACACCTAATTGTCCGCATGTTAATATGTTGACCAGCATAAAGTTGGCCTACGTTCGGGGAATATGTGTTTGGGCCCACGCATGTGTTTCCCTTTTTGCGGACCCAAATCTTTATTAGCCTGGCAACAAGATTGCCGTGTTTTAATAGACGGGCATAAAGCCAGGAGAAGCGCCCATTCTAATTGTCCCCATTGGCGGGACACGTGCAAAAAACAGTCAAAATTTATGTACTATAGAAAAAATACAGTAGACCATATATGTGTACCACGCTGCGTATGTGTTATTTAATTTCCCCCCCAATTGTGCACACACATTTGGCACTGCAGTCGGATGTGTGCAGTATGCAAATGCCAGCATTGTCGAATTCAACTGTAAGTGCATTCCCTTTTTATTGTCATA